GCTCTCATCTGTTGGCTGTGCAGTGAGGAGGGGAAAGGGAGCCTGAGCCCCTGCACTTGAACTTGCTCCTGTGAGTGTTCCGCCTGCAGGCAAGCCCATCTCCAGGAGGTCCTAAGAACCCCTCCAACCTGTCCCAAGCCTGGCCTGCTGGGAAGTTGCTGGTCCTACCACTGACCTTCCCTGGTTCTCTTTGCTAAGTTGCTCAGCAGGGAGGAGGCCAGCATCCCTGATGTCCCAACATCCGGCCTCTGGGAGTGGCCATAAAGATCAACACCCCTCAGAGCTGTATCCGCCACTGTTGGCCAGTCTGCAGGGTCCTAGTCTGTGGATTTCTATGGGGTGGTGGGATGCCGGCAGAAATCCTGGGCCCAGAGAGTGACAGTGAGTATCTCACATCTGCCTTTGGGATAGCTCTGTAGTGATTGGGAATATGGTCTCCGAGGCCCTGAACTCTTTGGAAAGAACACAGTATTGGCATCCCTCCACCCACCTCGAGGATGAAGATGGCAGGAGTGGAAGATATTTCCAGCCTGATACTCTGATATCCCCGATATGCCCCTTTAAGGTCCTGCATAAAAGTCTTTTCCTCTGTGAATCATGGGAGGGTCTCTCTGGGCCCAGCAGAATGAGGCCCCACTCCCGGAGTTCCCCTTACGACACTCGTGGGGCCTGCTGAGCATCTGTCTGCATGGCCTCCCTGACCACAGGAGCTGCAGAGAAAGGGGCAAGTCCAATGCATTTCAAGTACCCAACTCACCCATGACGGAGACCATTAATGTTTGACCCATGGATTAATGAATATGTTAATGAAATGTCTATATCTCACCTCTAGTATTGCTCCCAGGGTGAGCTGTCACCACTTTATGTATTTGACTGAATACTTTCCATAGGAGGCATATTTAAATATTTAAAATTCTCAACCTTTTTCATGATGTGACACACATGATAGACGACATTCAAATGCATGGCACACCCTAATCCAAACCCCAGTGGCCTGCCGTGACTCCATTCTACTTCCTGAGAGCCGACTGATGGCAAGTGAGTGAAGCCACTGTTGCTGCAGGAATGACCTTGCAACTCTGCCAAGTTAAAATCAGGAAATCACGACTGAAGTGTGCAAATGTATTACTACTGGCAATGACATAAAAAATACAGCTGGTCACGACACACCACTTCATGGTGATGACACTGTTGGGTTCTGTCTGTAAGATGAGGGTAGCAGTTAACTGCTCATTGAAGACCAAGAGACTCTTCTGCCTTTTTCCAGATTTGGTGACAAGCAAAAGCTCGAATTCTTGGATGAGCGGAGTGAAGACTAGGAATCCAGAGTGGGGCCACAAACCACCATTATTACAAGGTAGTTGGAGGCAGGAATGGGAGGGGAGGATGGGCGGGAAGATGGTGGGAGGGAGGGCATGTGGGAGGACGAGTGGGAAGACAGATGGCAGGACAGGAGCGAGGGCAGGTGGGGGGATGGATGGGAAGACAGATCAGACGATGGATAAGAGAGTGGGTGAGAGGGCAGCTGGGAGAAAGGATGAGAGGATGGTATGAAGATGGGTGCGAAGTCAGGTGACAGGACACGTGGGAAGACTGTGGGAGACTAGATGGAAGGATGAGTGGGGGTTGGGTGGGAGGACAGATGAAAAGATGAGTAGGAGTGTGGGTAGATAAAGAATTTCCAGAAGACTCAACATACTGGCAGAATCATCTATGCTGTTCAACCAAGAGTTAGTGAGGCTTCCTGAATTCGTATGCTTCCCATTTTCACCTGCTCCAAAGAAAAGACCAGCAAGGGTAAGCCTTATTTCTTAGCTGTGTTGGTGCAGAAAGCCTTCCCCACAGGTATGCAGGACACACTCCACAGCAGTGAGCCTCTAAGCTGCGTCCTGGGAGGACTGCTTCCAACGGCAGTACAGCAAATTCAGAAGTGAACAAGCTGCAGCCACCGAGGAGATCACTCTGCCATCATCCTCAACTGGAGGCCAGCAGGGCCCTTGAATGGGGAAGCGAGAAGTCAGGTGTGCTGTGGTCCCAGGTGAGGAGTGCCCTACCGGACTTACCTCTCCCCTCCAGGGAGCCAGACGAGCTCCGGGGATACCTCCTCTGTGACTGGGAGGGGACCTGTCCCTCCATCACCAAGTGAAGAAGCACTCTGGGCTTGACCTCAGCCCTGTCTGTGCTGTTTTCTCGATCTGCCTGTCTTTGTACCCCGGCCCCGGAGAGGAGAAAAGATTTGGGGCCTCCAGTAAGTGAAAGATGACTTTCTCAAGAGTGTCAGTGGTTGCTAAGAAACAAGTGGGATCAAATCACTCCTAAAAATAACCCAATGGACTGAGTTTACTTGCGACCTGCAGCAGCTGCATGGCACAGATCTCACTGAGCACCAAGCAGAAAGGAGACCACTGGCTCAGCGCATGCATGAGCCTCAGCTCTGACTATGCAGCCTGTTCCTGGGAAGCGTTCTCTATGCAGATACTTCACACATGTTCCCAGTCCTTCACAGCCCTGCTTTTCCCTCCCCGCCTGGGGCACTATCACAGTGACACTGTGTCACAGGGATGACCCACAGCCCTGCTGCTGCCTCTTCCCCTTCTCGCTGCTGAAGAATTGGCTGTCTACACGGGAGGGTTTGGAGGGCCTGCTCCTGACAGCCCTATTGTTGGAAGAGTTGAGCCACTGTCTACGAGGTGAGAGCCTGTCTAGGTGATTCAGACATAATCAGACACTAGGACAAAAGAGTCAGTTTCCTTCCAGACAGCCAAGGTGGCATGTTCACCACCTGCATCAGTAGGAAGGGAGGAGAGGTTATCAAAGAGCAGAGGGGAGACAGAAAACAAAATCCAACCCTCTTAGTGACACTAATGCACTGAGGTGGCCAGGACTCTACTCCCTCTTGATTATTTCCTTTTTATAAGGGAAGGTAATTGTCAAGAAAGACAGAGGCTGTCTCTGCCATGGGCACAATGATACAGTTCATTTTGTCACCAAGTCAAGAATTTCTGCACTCTTTCACTCTTCAAAAAGGGACCAAATCTGAGCTTCCATCTAGGTGACTTATATTTAAACTACTTGGAAAAAAAGAGAAAGTCTAAATGCAGGATTGCCATGGAGAGTTGTGCGGGTTGTTCACTGCACAAAGGTACTTGGACAAGAGGATGAGCTGGGGCTGACAAAGCCCATCATTCAGCAAACCATGCACTTGGTATGGGGCTACATCATTCTGTAGGAAGGGGCATCTTTCTTAAACCATGCAGAGGCACCACACGGGTTGGCAGAGGCCCTGTCTGAAAGTAACACAAATATGTAGAAAGGTTATTTGGGAGTCGGCTAAGAGGCTTCGGATCTGGTTTCATCTTGGTCCCTTAAATCACCTTGAGCAGTGAGCCTCTAAGTTGAGTCCTGGGAGGACTGTCTCCATGCAACCAGAAGTGAACAACTGTGGCCAGGTCACTCTGCCACATTCTCCCCTGGAGGCTACCAAGGCCCCTGGAATGGGGAGGCGAGAGATCAGGTTTGCTGTGGTCCCAGGTGAGAGCTGCCCTGCCAGACTTCACTTTCCCCTCCAGGGAGCCAGACAAGCTCACAGGATACATTACTGAGCCATTCTGAATGTATATTTCTTCACCTTCATGGCAAAAAGGAGCTTATAACTCCTGTCCTCTCCCTAGTACAGGGCTACTGTGGGGAATACATAAAGCTTCAGCTGGTTGCTTAGTTCAGGTGCTTGGCATTTGGAGCTGATGCGGCTCAGACCAGCCATTAACCTTCACCATGAGTCAGCGCTGCACTAGGAAGAGCCCAGCCCTGCAGCTCTCGGAGGGACCTTCAGTCACGAAAGCACCGCAGGACACTGGGATTTGATCACAACACAGCAAGACCCAGGGCGTCAAGAGCTCATGTGAGAGTCAAGGGGCTGGGACAGTGACAAAGACATCCCCACTGAGTGCTGGGACCTGCCAGCCAGACAGGAGCAGATGGGTAGAGGCCTCCAGCCTTCTCCGCAGCAGTGATGTAGTCTGGCCCCTTGAAGTCTTATGATGACCATTTTTATTTCTTTTTGGGACAGGGAGGTGGGAGGTGAAGATTAGAGCTGGGAGCCACCTCTCCTTTCTGGGCCTAGAAGGCATTTCAGCCATTAGGATCCAGGGCCTGTCATAAAGGGAAGCAGAGCTACTGTGGCAACCTCTGGTCAAGTTTCCCTATCCTGTTTTCGGGGGACAGCAGCCCTGGGTCGTGGGGGTGTGGGTGAAGAAGTGGTAGGATCAGGCTTTGTGAATGATGCCTCTGGAAGAGCAGCCGATTTCTGACAGGGAGGGGACCTTTTGTGGGGGAAGCTGATGGCTCCAGCAAGGCGCCCTGGCTTGGCTCCGTGGCCCTGCACTCACCTCTCCACCCAGTTCTTGTAGCTGGGGATGTCCTTGGCATACAGCAGCTTGTTGGAGGGCGAGTCCTTGCCCAGCCGGTGCTCCGACGTGGAGCAGGAGTCCATGAAGGTCTGAGCCACCACAGAGAGGCAGGCGTCTGTGATGCTGTTCTTATGGATGTCAAACACAAACTGCGGGTTCTTGATCATGTTGACCCAAAACCGCAGGGGCAGGCTGCGTGGAGGGAAGAGGCAGACGGTCAGGGGAGACGGGCCAGTGGGGCTGCGGCGTGGGAGGCAGGGGTCTCTGGAGGAAGAGAAGCCTGGGGAACTAACAAAACTTAAGAGCCAGGCGTGGTGGCTCAAGCCTGTAATCCCAGCACTTTGGGAGGCCGAGGTGGGTGGATCACAAGGTCAAGAGATCGAGACCATCCTGGTCAACATGGTGAAACCCCGTCTCTACTAAAAATACAAAAAATTAGCTGGGCATGGTGGCGCACGCCTGTAATCCCAGCTACTCGGGAGGCTGAGGCAGGAGAATTGCCTGAACCCAGGAGGCGGAGGTTGCAGGGAGCCGAGATCGCGCCATTGTACTCCAGCCTGGGTAACAAGAGGGAAACTCCATCTCAAAAAAAAAAAAAACCTTCTCTATTCTAGAGATGGGATGTGCCAGGGAAGGAATGTGAGGCGGGTCTGCAGAGCTCCAATTTACCTTCAGGAAACTGAGGACCAGCAATGCTGAATAAGTCATCCAGAGATACAATGTTGGTAAGTACTCGAGAGGACTTGCTACCCAGCCTTGATGGCAGGGCTCATCATCTTCCGGCTGGCATAAAAGGTAGCCATGATGTGTGCTATAAGGTGGAATTTCTAACTATCTGTCTGCTCCTAAGCCTGACAGAAGAGCATCCAGTTGGCAACCTTTGGGGAACTGCTTGGAATCTAGGCTTCGTATCTGACTCTCTGCCATCTACTGTATGACTTGGCAGAAGTCACACCCTTCTCCCTGCCTGGGCCTCTCAGCCTATTCCTACTGGGGCTGAGAAGTACAGTGTAGCTGACTGATTTTTCATCTCTAAGTTGGTACGCTCAAAAACCCACATTCACCCACCTCATGGGACCCACCGTGTTCCCTCCTTCCCCTCCCTGCTTCTTCCGGTTAGCCCCTCTTGCCCACCAGGAACTGTGCTTGCAACTCAGGATATAGTGATGAATGAGACACATTCTCTTCCCCCAAGAAATCTGTGTTCTGGTGGGTTCGTGGAGAAGGCAGACATGAAGCCAAGTGCATGCTGGGAAGACTGTCGGTTCTAGGACCAGAGATGTGTAGGGTCCAACGTGAACCAAGGGAAGCCTCAAGTCTACCCAGAAGGCAGTGTCCGGAATGCCCTCATAAAGGGGACACTTGATGGTGGGAGTTTGAAAACTTGTGCAAGCCTTTCTTTCTTTTTCTTTAAGTCTTATTCTGTCACCCAGGCTGGAATGCAGTGGTGTCATCTTGGCTCACTGAAACCTTTGCCTCCTGGGTTCAAGTGATTTTCCTGCCTCAAACTCCTGAGTAGCTGGGACTATAGACACCCATCACCATGCCTGGCTAATTTTTATATTTTTAGTAGAGATGGGGTTTCACCATGTTGGCCAGGCTGGTCTTGAACTCCTGATCTCAGGTGATCTGCCCACTTCCACATCCCAAAGTGCTGGGATTACAGCGGAGAGCCACCTCACCTGGCCCGTGTGTTTCTTAGCAGGGTGAGGCCTGGAGGAAGGAGGTGGCGGATGGGCTGCAGACAGGAAATCTGCATAAACAAAGACACAGAGGGAAAAGTGCGCCCTGCAGTCTGCTATTGTAAGCCTGTTGCTTATAATGTCCCGATCCTGAGGCACTGGGAGAAACTGCCTCCCGCCCCTTTTGGCTGTAGCCATCCTTGCTGGCTCTGATTCTGCAGCTTCCAAGCAGCCTGCTGGGACGCAGGTGGGAAAAAGGGCTAGGCGCCATGCAAGGACTCGCTTATTTCCTTCCCTCTGCCTCCTGCCATTTCCCCTGATGTTTTATTGTTGTTTTGGTGGTGGTTCTCCCTGTTGGTAATAGAATGTTCATGTGTTTGGCTTGCTTCTTAGAACTAAAACTCTTTGAATTACATTATTTCAATAGAACCAGTACAATATAGTTCTATACTTGACTGTCTCCCATGAGTCAGTATGTACAAATAACAAATGCTATAAATACAGAAGACCTAATGTTCAAGACTGCCAATCAGTCAGTCAACAAAGATCGATTAAGTTCCTACAAAGCGTGCAGGGCGGGACTCAGGCAGGCGGCACTCAGGTCTGACAATGTTTGATGATGTTTGCTTCATCCCTGGAAATCCAGACTAGGAAACAATTGGATGGTACCCAGGAAAGCTTAGAGAGAGAGCCATGACACCCAGGTGAAAGCAGGGGTCACTGCAACTGCCCAGCCTTTCTAACAGCTGGACTCAAGCCCTGAAGGGAGGACTTGTGACTTCCCAGCTAATGAAGTCTCTGTCCAATCTTCCGGTTCCAGAAGTTCTACCCAGGACAGGGACTCTGGGAGTCCACCTTTGCTCTGCTGGTTGTTTCTCCCTTATGCTCCCCGGTCCTCAAGCCAGTTTTGCGGACAGGCACAGCAAACAGGAAAGCCGCAGCACCCACTGGAGGCTCCCGCCTAATGAAATATTAGCATATTATTAACATTGGTGGTGGCACTAATCTCTGGTTGATTGCAGCCACTCAGCCTAAATGAGCAGGTTTATTTAAAAGAGAAGAGGTAGGGATCTGTGGAAGAAGCAGGCGGGGAAATGGTGGGTTACACCTTGGGCCAGGAATAAAAAAAAAAAAAAAATCACTTTTCAATCAGAAACAACTCCAAGTCAATATGCAGCTCTTAAAATTCCCAGACTAACTGTGTCTTGCTCAGGGTAGCAACAGATCAAGTCGGGGTTGAGGGAAGTGTCCTTTTGGGAGGGTGTGAGCCTAGCAGGTCTGTCTACTTTCTGGGATTTCCTTTGCTCAGACCTGAGTACTTGTAAGAGCTGCCATCCAAGAAGGATGTGGCTCCACTCTAAGGACATGATAGCACTCCTGGAGGTGGCCTTACCCCAGCAGGAGGGAATGGGTATCCAAACAAATGGTTTGGATACGATTGTAGGTGATATTCCTGCAATGTGCTACTAAGGACAGGTAGAAATGTCTAGAAAGACCCAACTTTCCCCAGCAAGGACCAAGAGAAGGTCTGGGCAGAGCATTTTTTAACATCTCCTGAAGGCTGCTAACATTCAACAGAGACAGTAAGTAGGAAGATTCCTGACAGAAGCATCTTGGTAGGCTGGGGATGTGCTCCTCCAAACAGCTCCCAGTAGCCAAGTTACATAGAGGCAGGTGCTGGGAGGTATGAGACCCAACACAGCTTTCAGTGGAGGAAATCACTTCACCTAGTTTTGCTACATTGAGTGAGCCATCTAGATTTTTGAGTCTTATTTCAGAAAGGTTGGAAGAACCTCAGCACTGAAGTCCTCTCTCACCTGGCAAACCCCACACTTTGGTTTTGTGGTCCCAGACTCGCTTCCTGCCTGGTTTTCCATATTCAGCAGGGATAGTCTCTTCTTCCAGTGAACAAGATGAGGAGCCAGAGCATACTATATTGAATAAAGTTTTGGTATCACAGCCTGACTTCTGCCTTCATCTGTGCATTGCTTTGGGGCCTGGGGCTGGGTGCCAGGGTGCTTGGCTGAGCCCTAATGCCTTGCCCATCCTAGCAGTTGTCAGTGCTGGGCAACAGGCCCACACTGTCTCAGAAGAATGATCTGGGGAAGAACAGCCTGGGACAGACACCATGGAAAAGCTACAGGGAGGCAGTTCTGGAACCGATGGGACAAAGGATAAGCCAGCTTTGCCTCATGTAGAGCTCTCAACCAGAGACCACCTTGGCTCTGCATCTCATCAATATTTACTGAGTCCCAGCTTTATGCAAGGTTCCATACTAAGTGCTGAATACTGATGTGTGATCTTGCAATTTCAACCTGAAATACAAATTACGCATAAGTGAAGGGAAGGATGATCCATGTTAAAAGGAGAGAGGGGATCATAGGGGAGAACACCTAGAATGTTAATTAGTACTTGGAGAATCTTGTTGCCTCAAAGGAAGACACAGTGGTTAAGGGCAGGTCTCTTCACCACACAGAGCTTGGAAAAGGAGTTTATGGGAAGAAAAGAGAGAAACTGCTTGAAGAGAACAGGGATGCCCTTTGTTCACCTGGCTGGTTCCTAGGTATGTTTCAAAACTGCTTGCAAGTCACTGTTAGACGTTGCCCTTCTAAGATCCAATTGCACATGACCGATCCTCCATCTTCCATGGCATTTGTCTCTCTGCCACACCAGCAGACTTCCTTGCCTCTCACCCTCATCTGTCAGCTCATTGAGAGCTGGGGCCATGTCTGATTAGCCCATGACCCTCAAGTGTCTACCATAATCACAGGCACCCAGGAGGTACTTGGATGGAAGGGTGTCCTGGCTGTGACATTTGGCATATTATTTCTTGCTTCCTCAGCTGGTTTAACAAACGTTTGTTAACTGACTGAATGATAGGAAAGAAAGATGCACAGACAGATTTGACTAGAGGGAAGTGAAAGAGGGAGTGAGCACAAAAATCTAAAAAGAGTACATAGGGAGGACCAGAGAATGAGCCTGCTCAGAGTCCCTGCTGATGAAAGCAGACTCCGGCCAGCCCTTCTCCTGAAGGCCCAGAGTCCCACCACCACTGACTCGAGGCTAGGTGGGCTTGGGGCTCCCGATGCATCCCCTGCCCTCCCTTCGCTCACCAGTTGCTCTTCCAGGTATGGCGGACGTGCGGGTCATGAATGCCATGCTTGTCAGCCTGCTCATCTAGGAAGTCAAACATGTACTTGATGGCCAGGGGCAGGGCAGAACCACGGTGTGCCGTGCTGAAGATGGTCTCAAAGAGGTCATCCACAAACTTCTGCAGTGTGCCCTGGGGAGGCAGGACACGTCCAGACACAGCTCAAGTCCTGTAGTTCTGAAGATGGCTTTAAAACCTGCCTCACAGACCTAGGCAGGGGAGGATGGTATACAACCCATCCTTGCTCGGGTGAAATTGGGTAAGCCCATGCATTAAATCATTTTTTTTTCCATTTCATCTGTCTCTAACAGCTTTAAAATTCCCTCTGCACATGGAAAAGAGATGGAACACTGATGACTGGACCTATGTAAGGCTTCCGCTGCCAACAACACAGTTTGGTTGAACACCCTCTGGTGGTGTTATTTTAGCACTTTTCACAAATGCTAATGAACACTCACTTGGTCAGAGCAGACAAACACAATCTGCTGGTTTTGTTTGGGCATGACTCACACTGGCTAATGAACAGTGACTCACTCGGCTCTGCAGAGAGCAGAGCTGAGCCCAGTCTCAGGAGTGAAAGACACTAGCACTGCAGGCAAGCAATGTCCCCAGAACCAGGATTAGAAATGGTGCCTGGGGTCAGGCGTGGTGGCTGATGCCTGCAATCCCAGAGTTTTAAGAGAATCACTTGAGGCCAGGAGTTTAACACCAGCCTGGCCAACATGGTGAAACCCCATCTCTACTAAAAATACAAAAAAGAAAAAGCCAGGTGTGGTGGTGCACACCTGTACTTTTCAGCTACTTGGGAGGCTGAGGCAGGAGAATTGCTTGAACCTAGGAGGAGGAGGTTGCAGTGAGCAGAGATTGCACTACTGCACTCCAGCCTGGGCAACAGAGCAAGACTCTGTTTAAAAAAAAAAAAAAAAAAGAGGGAGGGAGGGTAGGTGGGTGGGTGCCTGGGAAGTCGCTGATAGAGCTGTGACTTCCCACTTGAAATCATAGATGATATACCCCAGAGAAGAAATCATTCTTTCATAAGGCATGGGGGAAGAATGTGAAAAAAGGCAGTTAGTATCTCAATATTTCAGACAGGCATGGAGAAGAGAAACAAATCTTCAGATTGCATGCCAACACTGATGTATTGATGGGGTTAGCCTGGAGCGCTGGGTTGAAAAGGATTCGAAGATTTGGTATGGGGGCTGGTCAGCAGTGCCTCCTGGGGTGGGTAATAGAGAGGGCACCAGCATGAATGATGGGTACTGGCCACTCTGCCATTTCTGAGGGCTAATGAAGCCCCTCTCCATAGCCACTGGGCTCCCTGCACCCAGTTCTCAAGTCCAATACCTTAGTGGCCAGGAGTCGGGTCAGGTAGATTTCAGACACCATCTTGCTCCCCCGGTCCCCCTCCTTCTGATCTCCATGCTCGTGGTTCTTCACCAGGTGCCACATCTTGACTCCGCTCTCCAGGTCAGGAGTGATCATAGGTGTCCGTGAGCGGAGGCTGTCGGGGCTGCCCGTGTACCTGATCATGTTTTCTGCCGAGGCAAGGATCACCCCCCAATGCATGTGAGGCCACATGGCCTTCATCACCTTACCGTGCATCCCTCTCTCCGGCAGAAGCCAACGTCTGCCTGATCCTTCCTGCCATTGGTTGGTGCTGTCACCTTACCTTGGTTTGGTGCCTTCCCTGAAACTAGGATGTCTTTCTCACCACCTCAGGGAAACTCTCTGTGGCTAATTCCACCTACTCACATCTCCCCCTTCTTTCTGTACCCTGCATCGTGTCAACCCTTAATTATTAAATTTGTAAAAATATAAGCCTGTACTTTTTTAATGCTTTTCCTTGTAAGAGTTCTCAAGTCATGTCTCAAGATGTGTTCTGTGTAGCCAATTAAGTACATACTTAAGAGCAGGTAGCCTGTCTCCCTTAATAACTGCTGATCGGATAAGTAATGGCCTGGTAACCTGCTCACCTTAGTCTGTCCTCCCCTCTGCCTGTGCCAATCATTCCTATTTATTTGCTGAAGCTCCTACCATTGTTTGTGAAGTGTCATGAAATGAGTACTGAGCAGGAAAAAGAAATGGCGGTCCTACTGTGTGCAGGCACTATTCTCTGTATTCATCTATTTATTATCTAGAATGACCTTGTTCAGTTGGTAGATTTTTCAGTCTCTTCTTCTGGTAAAATTAAACCAAGGCTTATATGGTCATAGGACCAATGCCAAAGCACACAGATAGGGCAGAACAGGGCTCCTTCTGGCTTCTACCCCACCTCCAGCACCCTCTCCCCACCACTGCAGAGCCTCACACCTGGTCTGTACCTGCACTCCACTGCAAAATAACAGTGGCTCTTACAAATCATTTAGCCTCTGTGCATCTGAGTTATAATGTGCTAATATGCATAATAGGGGGAAATAATAATTATTTAATTCATTGGAGTGTTATGAACATGATGTGAGATAATAGCTAGCACACAAGGAAAAGCATCTTACAGCCTGGAAGACATTTATGAAGGTTGGCTTTATTTCTTTTGCACCTGGATGAAGGTCTTGCTTATGCATCAGAAGCCTGAAACCAGGGCTCTCTTCCCCAATGATCAGCCTGCCTGATGCCCCACCACCCCTCTCCAGGAGTCTCCTGCCTTCTGGCTATGCTGCTGTCATGACAGCAACTGCTCAGGACACCCAGGACTCCCCAGGATGCTAGTGGGATCTTACCATATTTACTCGCTGAGGTCCTGGAGACGGTGGAGTTGTTCACTGCATTATATGCTGTCACCTGCTTGGATACTAATGCTACCACGGAACCATCTGGGACCTACAGGGAAAAAGCTTCTCAGGGCCTGGGCGCAGCAGCTCTGCCACTCCAGGAAATAAGGAGAAATCAGGATGAATTTGGCACTAAGGGGCAATTGGTGCCTTGCTGGAGAACTAGGGGACTTTGGAGGCTGTCAGCTTTCCTTGGAGCAAAACAAGACATCGATCTAGATACTGACTAGTGTTTTGTTTTGTGGCTTCTCTTGGAGTAACTTCTGAAGAGCTCATCCCCAGCATTCTCTATCCCAGTGCTTCCCTGGGAGATGACCCAGCCTTAAATGTCCAGAGGAACTTCTCAGGAGGGGACTCTGCCCATGCCCTGCAGAAAATGTGCATGTCAGCATTTTATTGCCAAAGAAGCCAGGGTTCCCTGGTTTCTTGGTTGGGAGACATCAATTTCCTCTGGATCACTAAGAGAACATGGAGTGTTGGTGAGGAGCTTAGTGTCTAGCTCTGTTATTCCAGGGCAATGACTTCTAGGGCAATGGACATGTAATTGACTAGCTCCTCCCCTTTCCACATTCCCCTCACCTGGTAGTGGGCCAGCGTGTTCAGTCGCTTCCAATCATTCTCAATCTTGGTGGTGATGTCTTCATCCTGCAAGATCATCCTCACCCCACTTCCTTGTCGCCACTCTGCCGAGAGAGAGGTGGCATCTCAGAGAGGCCCTCTGACCCTTCCTGAAGGGAAGCTGAGGACCCCTGTGTAGGTACCCACACAGTGCCATCTCAAGGATGTATCTGTTGCCAGTGCTAGCACATGCTCCTGCGAAAATGGAGTGCTGAAGCTCTCAATGCCAAAAGGCCCTGAGTTCCAGTTCTGGTTCTAATCCCAGCAAACTATGTGACCAAAATGGGGCTGACATCACTTATCCATTCCTGCCCATCTGCTTGCTATGAATGGCCACATCTGTAAAAAGTAGATGCTCAAAAAGCATTGGCCAAATGAATGAGGCACATAATAAAACACTAAGCACTTGATAAAGCATGAGGCAAATGCAGAGTGGGATAGTTGTGGTAGCATGGCTTCTTTGCTTGATTGGAAGCTCTTAGAGCTGATCAAATCAAGCCTGTGGGCTCAGTCACTGTGCAGCCCCAGACCTGTTCCAGGGGTGTATCCTACAGGGTGAAGATGGCAGGTATGTCACCCTTGTCAGGGAGATTGGGTCAAAGAGTGTGGAAAAAATCAGCAAAACTGATTCTCATGCCCATGAACATCCCCTTCCCCACAGTTGATGTAAATGATATCAACGTTGTAATCCATCAACACCTAATTATCTGATGTTGCAAGGATATGCTTACGTCACCATTTTATTCTCAGGGCCTAAACACCTACAACACATGGGCTTACTGATGGATCACACATGGGGAAAGGGGAGGCTGTTTCTCATCAATCAAATCCCCATCACCATACTTGGTACAAATCACGTGTAGGTGAAGAAGTGCACATTCCTATCTTGAAATGTACACACATGAAAATCCATGTGCATGTCAGACACACAAACTCTCATGCAGCACACATGTATGAGCTCACACACTCACACATACCATTCTCATGGACACACACCAGAAAGGAAAAACAGCCTCTTAAATTCAAATGCAACATGTGTTCCAGCCAAGAAGCCAGACGTTTGGTTTCCAGACAGTCCAGATCCTGCTCAATGTTTCTCAGATGCTGATACTTCTGAAATGTACAAAGAACACTAGGCTTGTTCAGAGTGTGGTTAGTTGCTGGATTAAATGCCTGGCAATCACTGCTTGATTCACTACAGATTTCTTCCTGTGTCTCACATGTTCAGATTCTCTTCCTCATTTCCCTCCTGCCAAGCCACATGTGTGGCACAGAGAGCACCAATTCCTCCCTGCATTGTGCATTTATTTTGGTCTGTGCTGCCATCCCCATTTCACAGATGGCATGCCATTTGGAGTAGCAGAGATCCTCCTAAAATCTAAGCCCCTGCCTCCAGTCCCTGGGGCTTCCCTGCTGCCTGATTTAGAGCTTAGTGCAGTGGTCAAAGGAGTGAAAGCATAGGGACTACATGCTTGCTCGCTGGAGCGAGAAGTCTCCGGGGACCATCCATCCCTTAGTCCCTTGGATGTCACAGCTAGGATTGCTCATGGTGATTATGGTCTGGGGCAGTTAGGCTGATGGTCAAAGGGGAAAATGGCTCACTAAGGTGTCTGATCACTAGTGTTTTTGCTTATTGTTGTATTGTTTCTTGATTTTTGTTTTTTATTCTATGAATGTATGCATGCATGCATTTTTGAGTGGTTGGAGCAAAGGAAGACGAATCTCTCCAAGCTGGCCAGACAGCTGATGTGCTGTGCAGTTGGATGCTGATGGAGACAAGCCCAGGTTGGGGGGTATACGGCACTGAGCCTCCCTCACTTGCATGGTGAGCAGCACCTGGTTAAGTCGGAAGCTGCCAGGGGTGGAAGAACAGCAGCACAGGAATAGCTTTGGGTCACAACACAAAAGGGAGTCAGCATTCTGCTTTCGTCATATTCAGGGCAGGGAGAGATACAATGAACTCAGCTCTGGACACTAAGTCCTAAGTTCTCTGGCTGGGCCCCAAGGGAGTCTCCACCCAAGTGACCATGGGGCTTCCTAGGACTAGAAGGAGAAGGTGCTGAGAGACAGCCCTTTAGCTGAGCAGCTGCACTGGCACTCCTTGATGATAAAGAATTGTAGCACATCTCAGGGGCATCTGAATAAAGCGCATGGCCTGGCAGACTAAGCAATGACAGATGATGACTAATTCTGGGCCCCAAGGCAGGTCTTCTTCCATGATGCACAATTCCCCTTAGAGCTGTGCAGTGCACAGTCTGGGTGACCATACTCAACAACCCTGGCTGAGTCATGCCGGCAATTATGAGAATGAGAGTGCGCCTACCTCTACCTCCATGACCCTATCCAAAAAGACTGGGTAGAGGATGGTCATGTCTCATTGACAACTATCTCAAAAAGTCAGGAATGTTCCCCCAAAAGCCAATATGAGGAGACGGGGGCTGGAATCAAGAACACTTAGCTTGCTTTTAGATCTCTCAAGGCTATTTTGTTATCTCCTAGACAGAAAAAATTGCTATGTGCTTTTTTTCTGAAATATTAGAAAGGTCAAAGGAGAAGAGAAGAAAGAAGGGAGGAGGAGGAGGAGGGGGAGGAGGAAGAGGAGGAAGAGGAAAAAAGATGAAGATGAAGGAGGAAGAAGAAAGAAGATGAAGATGAAGGAGGAGGAGGAGGAGAAGTAAAAGTTGTTTTATAGCATCTGCAACCTAGTCATAATGACAGAACCCAGAGGGATGGGCGGCTGGTGTGGCCAGCTCCATCCATGAGGCTTTCAGGAAAAAAGCAAGGATCACAAGTAGCCCAACTGGCTGAACCAGGAATGGAGGAGAGAGGGTGGAGTATACCGGGAGGGCAGCCCCACATTTCCCTGGCACAGAATTACTTCAAGTAGGCCAACAAGGAAAGCCACTCCTTAATGTCACTCTTCACCCAAATTCCTTACTTTTACACTGTTCACTTCCAT